GCCCTCCTCGCCTGTCTTGCGGGCACGAAGGTGAAAAATAAATGAATGCGCGATCAAATATACTTAATTGCATTTTAAAACTACAACAAAGGAGGCTCTATGGAGTGTGCTAGTTAGCAAAAGACAGAAAAGGCAGTCATGAGCCTCCCCTACAGCCATCTCGAAACAGACGAAACACGCAGCCGCAAATATTGAATTGAACGGCCTGAAAGAGTTTAAGAAAGGACTCATAAGTGCTTCGCTTAACTAACGGGCCTTTTTGGTCTATATACGTTGGTTACTTGCACCCAACGGTGCAGACTATGTTCGAGCCCCCAAGCACCAACAAGTCGCCGTGCGTGTTTCATCTGGGTATCCACTTCCTGCTGTCTTTTAACTAATTTTTACGGCTTTCCAATCTGTGTTCCCCTGCCAGCATCTATTCTCTTCACTGTTTATTCTTTTCAGTAAAGCTTTGTTTGTTTGGTTGCTTAATCAAATGCCTTTATGTATTTGTTCATTCAAGTTGGCATCAGCCAGTCAGTCTGAGTCAGAAGAGTCTGAAGATTCCTCTTCTGACGAATCCACGAAATACTTGGGCTGAACAATGGCCTAAAATACAATTGGCGGAGGTGAGAGCCAAAGAAAGCAGAGAAAATTGCATGAAGAACTGTAGATGAACAGCTTCTATCGTTTGTTTGAACTGTACCTGCCGTGTAGCCAGCCGGAAGCTCTTGCGCTCCGGTGTTCGCTGCCGTTTTTGTATTCTGGGTTTTTGTTTTGAATCGCTGTCTACGTTTTTAAAGGCGGAGAATTTCGTTGCCTCTCGCTCCTTCTTTGCCTTGAATGGCGGTTCAGCAACCGACTTTTCTCTCAACGCCGTTCCTATCATGATTGCTTCTCCGGCTGCTTGTGTTGCTGCTCTTTTTGCTGCTGCTGCAGCAATTATATTTCGCGCATCGAATGATTCCAGTATTTCATCGTCAGCCCTCTTCTGAGAAGACCACCCGTCTGCTTGCCTGTGTTGTATGCATTTGACGTAACCGTTTAACAGAAACAAAACAGGAAAAGAAACAACGAGCAAAAGATGAAAAAAAAAGGAGAAATGGGATCGGCATACCTCTGCAAAAGAGCACGGCTCTCTCTGTGCTTCTTTGTATTGATTGCCAGCTGCAGTAGGTAAACAAATGAATCGCCTCAAGATAGCAAACCACAACAAGCAAAGCCTTTCACTTGAACCCGGGGGCATAAACTCAACACGATAAAAGAAGAGAATGTGCTACTAGCTTTTTTTAATAAATATAGTAGGAAGAAGTTTTGCACTTTCATGCAAAGTAACCACAAAAATAAATAAACGCATTTAATCTCACATCGCCGGACTTGTATCGGATCCAAACCAAAAGCTTGCGTGACCCCAGAGGCAAGTGTTCCTATTTGAACAATTAAAACCATTTCTTTTGTTTAGTTTTTAATTTCAGGAGTTGTTTTATTTATATTTACCTTTTTCCATTCAAATTTAGATGCTTTAGATGCAGCAGAATGCGCAGGAAACGGCAATTCAACACGGCTGCGTCGTCGCTCCTGCCACCGTTTCCAGGCCATACTGTGAAGCGTTTCGCCTTCTTCAGTCATTATTCGTGTTTTTTGTATTCTTGCAATTCTACCCAACGTAAAATATAAATATAATGTACGCAGCGTTCAACGCTCATCACCGGCGCTCTGAGGTGTACGTAGACTTGAATACGAACAGTGGCTTTTCCTGAATTGCAGGGAAAGGTGTATTAAAAGATGCAGATGACACTTCAAAGCATGTTCTGTACTCTCATACAAAGGATTATTACAGGCTAAATGCCGCAACAAATGTTTATTGGCTTCAGTTTTTTTTCCCTTCATCATTTGTTTTCCGTTGGTGTCGACCTCTCTTAACGCCCACTGCAGTTCATGAATCTGTTCAAAGCTTGTTGAATATGTGCGTCCTCTCTCCCATCAACAGTTTCTTCGTTCTTGCTGTGTTCTCTCTTGCAGATGGTCTACACTACAACCTCCACTACTCGGTTACCGAGCAGCATAGTTCTCGTTTGTGTATTTCTGTGCATTGGTTAGCGTTCGTGTGTCTGTTGACGGGCTTTGACTTGCATATATGTGGTGGGTTAGTTCCCCCATGAACCCACAGATACGCGCACAACGGCGTAGTTCCGTCTAAACTGCATGCATCCTCATCATGTGTTTGTCCTGTCTGCTACGACATCAGAAAACAGTGCGAAATGTTTAAAGAGGGATAACTATCAATGTATCAACTGGAAAGCATGAAGAGCTGAGGGGTGGATAATGAGAAACCGAGAGATGTGTTTAGGCACAATCANATCAACTGGAAAGCATGAAGAGCTGAGGGGTGGATAATGAGAAACCGAGAGATGTGTTTAGGCACAATCAAGCAGGCAGAATGATCTGCTGCTGTTGCTTCTGCTGTTGCTGCTGCTGCTGCTGTTGCTGTTGTGCTGTGCTGTGTTGTGCTGTATCGTCGTCTTAGTTGCCTATCATACATTTAAACGAACAAACGGAGTCTAGAAAACCGAAGAGGGACACGAAAACATCTGCACCTGCCGCAGCTGAGGTGTACGTACTCTGCAGCCTTCTGACGGGCCTCAAATGAACTACCCTTTGCTTATTCTTGCATGCATTCAACGATGAAAAAATTAACAACGGCTTCATTCTGCCGCTGCTGCTGCTGCTGTTGCTGCGGTTGCAGTTGCTGCAGCTGCAGCGTGATGCCTGCGTTTGTGGCCTCTTCTCTTTGGAGGCAATTCAACATAAAGGCAGAATGATAAGGAAAAACAGAGAAAGAGAAAAATAGCAATAAGACGAGGGGAAGCAACAGAGACGGACAGACGCGCAGACAGCTGTGGTGCAGACAAACAAACAGATGCAACTCTGGAAATATTCATGAAGAAGAAGAATGAGAAGCAGAAGAAGAAGAAGGAAAAGAAGAACAAGGAGAACGTCGCTGCGCCTCCTCCGCTGCGTCGAGAGCTGACTGCAGGCCGGGGATGCTGCATATACACAAAACAGCAGAAGCAGCAGCAGCAGCAGCAGCAGCAGATGGGAGGTGGCGCAGCAGGTTGACTGAAGCAGACGCAAACAGCATCCACGCCCAGCAGCCAA